ATGCGCAATTCTATTTTGATTTTAGATTGTAAAAGTCAGTTTAAAAATCCATAAACAAATTGATATAGCATTGCGTTTCGGGACATGTTAACTTGACGAAAGTCTAAACTTTAACGTTCCAAATACATTGATTATTTCTTACCCACAATATTGTTTTAATCCAAAGAATATAATGTTACATTACAGTAAAAAGTTTACCCAAATTTTACCACGAGAATCTGCTTATTTACAACAATTTTTTAACATTTTTAGAATTTCTTTTATTTTTATTTATTTTTTTTTATTTTATTTTTAGAATTTCTATGAAATAGTTCTAGGACTAAATCAAAGATTTAATGAAAACCATTTCAACGCAAATACAGAACTCATGGTTAATATCTGTGCTTTTAACGAACTGATAATCAATAATACATTTTTCGACCAAAGCAGATTCTAGATATCCCAATTTTAAACTCAGCAGACGTAGGGAGTGAACACAAGCTAGTACTAGCAAAAACAAGAATGAAAATAACACCAAAACATTTTCTATAGGAAATCACCGATAAAAAATTCAATGTAGAATCACTGTGGACTGACTCAACAAGAGAAATGTACCAAACGAGGCTAGCACAGAAAATACAGCTGAAACAGACGATATAGAAGATATAAATGCGAACTGGAAAAAAATAGCAACATTAAAGAAGCAACAACAAAAACTCTAGGAAAACTCAAAGTCATACTAACAAAAGAAACAACAACAATAAACCATGGTTTAGAAAAAAATAAAAGAAAAACGTAAAATGCACGAAGTACAAAACATCAAATACTCCAGAATTTCGAGACACATATAGAAGAATACGAAATGAAACAAAGCAGTTGGTACAAAGAACAAAAAATGAATAATGGGAACAGTTTACAAAAAGGATGGAAAGCAACTTCTATGGCATACAAAAACAAATATGGAAATTCATAAGAAACCAATGAAAAGAAATAGCAGAATGGAAGGAATTTAATAACACACCAGCAAACGAATGAGAAAGATACCTGCTGGAACTGTTTAAAGGGAAGAAAAATAATAATCAACACAAAAAGGTACCTGAATTAAGACACGAAATATAAATCAGTTTTCAGGAAGAAGAGATAGCCATAAATTCACTCAAAAATAGGAAGTCACCAGGAGCAGACGAAATAACCAACGAGCTTTTAAAACACGGAGGAGAAAGTATAACCCTAGAGATGACAAAACTTATACAAAAACTAATGTGCACTGCAAGGTACTAGATGCATGGAGAAATAGCATGAAGAAACAGCATAATGCATAATGCAATTATACAGGTATAAATCTATTGAGCACCACACTTAAGCTTACTACAAAAGTCCTAACCAACAACATTAATAAACTAACAACTTTATCAGATAAACAACAAGGATTTAGATTCGGAAGGATCTGCGTATTTTCCTATCCAGTTATCGACTTCACTAACCGTGGTAACTGGATGCATGTAGTAGCATATCTACGACAATATGGTCACTGATAAGTACTAGTAATTTCTGCTGTTCAGATAGACTGCTCCCACCACTATTTATTGTCACGATACATTTAACCAGTACCGCTAGATAGTTCTCTTTAAAATATCTTTAACGAAATCTTAGCATAATTGATTTTTTCTGTATCTGTATTTTTACTCATTATCCTTATTTTCCTTGAACTTTGAAACTTTTGAATTACTTGCCTGCAATTTGGTTGCTTTTATGATTTCTTCTATCTTATAAAGATGGAATGATTGATTCAGTATTTCTATTCAGATAGCTATTTCTTGTTAATTACAGTAACTTGTAATTATCTTTTTAGTACTATTCTTATCTAACTATCTAAATCGCAATAATTGTTAATAAACTCTAAACTATATCTCCGAGTCACGCAGTTCTGTAGAATGATATTGCTTTTTCACATTTGTCTAATAACAATAATCTATATAACTATTCTATGATAAATCCGATAATTACCATCAGGTGTGTAAACTAGGTTATCTTTAACTTTAAAATATACTAACATTTTATTTTTATCTACATACATACATTTATTACATATTACATATTTAACAGGTCACACAATCTATATTTTTTATTTACATAGACCTATCGGAAGCTGCTAATATCGCATTATTTTTTTTTGCTGAATACTACAAGCAGCAGGCAATGGTTCTCCAAAAAATGATATGTTGTATATAAGAGATAGTAATCAATTTCTACGAGTATTTATAAGATATTACAAAAATAAATAAAAAATGAAAAACAAAAAAATTATATAGATATAAGAGGATTCAATCCTGGATTAGCATAATAGTCACTCTTATAGATCCTAAGCCTGCCAAAAAGGAAGAGGGTTATCGCAACAGGTCATTCTCTTGTCCTGTGAAAAAAATATTGTTTAAAACCTTAATCAAAAGCCTCGGACTAGACAGGAAACTTTAAGGCGTCCTAAGCTACAGAAAAGTATTACGAATTGTGGAATATGGAATCTACAGGTGTATCTTAAAGAAATTAAATGAAGTGGTAAGTAAAGCAGACAGGTTAAATATTGCAGTAATAACAGAGTCAAAAAGGTAGAGTGTCAGAAAGTTAAGAAACTATGATCACTTTTATAGTGGGGTTCCTAAAGAAAAGAGAGCACAACAAGGAACAACAATCATCATACACAGAAGGTTTAGAAAATACATAACAACTTGGAAATCAATTAGTGAGCGAATAATAAAAATTAACTTATTAACACTTTGTCTGGCTAATTGGCTCGGCCAAGGCCATCAAACTAATTAAAAAAAAAAACTTATTAACACAGGGATACAGAGTTACTTTATTTGGAATATACGGAGTAACTGATGATGAATTGGTACACAACATATATACTCTGTTCGTCAAGGTCAACATCATCTGCATATGCTAAAATTTGGGATGATTTATTAAAAACGTTTGCTGTGTTGTCTATTTGGGCCTCTGTGACCGCCTTTTCCAGAGATATGTTGAAAAGGAGACACGCCAGCTCATCTCTCTGTCGCAGGCCAATATGCGTTTAAAATCCCTGTGATTGTTCGTCCTGTATTGATTATGCAAACAACTTTACGCATTGTAGCCTTAACCAATCTTATCAGTTTATCGGGGATGTGGAATTCATCCATGGCTTCATACAATTTATTTCTTAGGACACTATCATAGGCCGATTTAAAATCTACGAAAAGATGGTATGTGTCGATATTGAATTAATTGGTTTTTTCCAGTATTTGCCTTGGCACAAAGATTTAAGGCTTTAATTTAAGACATGTAAAAAAAGACATGGTGGTTGGAAAATTTAGAGAAGATACATTGAATGACAATGGTCAAAAACTAATTAATATAGGTGTACAGAATTAACTAACTTAAATGGGATTTTCAAACAAAGATAAATACACAAATATACATGGACACAACCAGCAAGAGGTCATACAATAAATATAGACAATCAACGAATAGTTTATCAAACAATCAATAGTTTATAATAAGTAGACAATATGCTCCTATTCAATTCAAAGACTTACCTAAGAGTTCATAGATGTGCATCAGACGGAAGTGCCCAAACAAAAAAAGTGAAAACAGAAGTAACTGACAAAAAAACAGCACAAAAGAGAATTTATGTCAAAGCAGATTAGATAATAAATTAAATAGAACAGAATTTGGGAGTATAGAAGAGCAATACAAATAGGTACAATAAAATTGCATACCTGTAGCAGCAGAAGAAGTTTTAAGTCAAGTGAAAAACAAAAACAAACAAGCATTATTGGTTGCATACAGAAACATCACAAAAAAGGAAACAATGCCACAATTGCCTTAGCTCTCCAAACGGTGACCGAAAAAATAAATCTTAAAGAAGCCCAAGCTAGAGGTTAAAATTAAAATGGTTCAAGTAAAAATATATTGAAATAATAACAGAAGTATAAACGCAAATAGATCAACAACCATCCAAACTTCCAAAATTAAATGATGAAAGATTAAACTGAAAACGTCAAAAGTAACTTGAGTGGCTTTATATTTTCATATATATCATGCCTTTGGTACAAAATAATTCCTTTTTATTTATTTAATTAGGGCCTTTAATATTACTTTTGAAATATAGGAGAAGAACATATTTTTAATATAAAATTTCTATTGATTAGCTATTTCATGTCGTGTCTCGTAATTTAAATAGATAATAAAAATATTTTTACTCTTTGCTCTGAAACGATTTTCGATAGAGCCTTAAGTGACACGGAAGATGGAATCAAAATCAACGGACAGACTATTAGTAATCTTCGATATGCTGATGATACAGTCATAATAGCTGATAGCCAAGAGGTGCTACAACGACTAATAGATTTAATAAACACTAAAGGAGAACGACTGTACTTGAAGATTAATATAGACAAGACGAAGGTAATGGTGGTTAGTAGGATAACTGAAGATCTAGATCCAGATATAGAGATAAGTAACAGGATTGAACAAGCCAGAACAGCATTTACTAATATGAGAACCTTGCTAAGCAACAGCAGTCTGAACCGATTTTTAGGCCTTTGAAATGTGGGTATTTAGAAGACTACTTAAAATTCCCTGGACAGATCACACAACAAATGTCGAAGTATTAAATCGAATGGGCAGAGAACGAGACTTGCTGCCATTAATAAAAAGAAGAAAAACTGCTTATCTGGGTCATATATTTCAAAATTCCAAGTACAGTTCTTAAAGCTTATTTTGGAAGGGAAGATAGAAGGAAAACAGGGCATCGGAAGAAAGAAATACTCATGGCTTAAAAACATAAGGGATTGGACAAACCTCGATGCCCATGCAATCTTTAGACCCACACAAGACCGAGAGGAGTATTCCAGAATTTCTTTAACATCCACTAATTGGATAGGGCACCATAAGAAGAAGAAGAAGAATAAAATATCTCCCAATGGCCGAATATGTTTATATTTCTCTGTGAAGTGGTATATTTTTAAATGGAAACTGAATTATTATTTATCATCACCATCCTTTTTGCCTTTATTCTTTTGCGGGGTTGGCTAAAACCGAAATATTAATTTTTATATAAATAAGTTAAAAAAATATAATAAAAGACTACGAGATTATCTCTTATTAGTGCCAAAGTAAAATTAATAAATTATACTTTACACGTTTTTACATTTTTTGTATATAATCTCTAAAATGTATGTTTTAATACATTTTTAATAATAAGAAGGAAACATTATATTAAATGTGGTAACCAGCATTGTCATTGAAATATTTTTATGCTAATCTACAACTTCTCGAACCTCACTGATATTTAACTCCGATCACCCCATGAATTTTTAGATCTTAGACGCACACCTAGCGTCGTGAGGTTGGTCGAGACGTCTCGTAACAGCTGAAGGTCTCCGTCGATGTCTGTAGTTCAAGGCGTTCCCTGATAGATGGCGTGAGATGCTAAAGAGAGGAATTATTTATGAAATCGCTTAGAATGTAAAAAAGAAAATTTACCTAATCACTCTAATTTTTTAATTGCTAAGTGAAAAAGTGGTTTGGGAAACTTCCGGAGTTGACGAAGTTTTCTGTTGCTACTTAACACGTAAAGAAGATTAAATTATCATGTTCGGATGATTTTCTTAAACGGTGACGACTATTATGGATAAATATCTAATAGTCTATTTTTAAATCTGTTATTAAAAATGGGAGGAAGGAGAAATTCTATAAAAAGAATAGTCACCGTTGAAGTACGATGTATGGTAAATACAAGATCACTACTTTGTATTTTTCATTTTGAGAATAGAGGAATAGGAAGTCTAGACATTCACAAAGATAAAAAAAAAATTAATGATGGTATTGGTATCAAATAGAAGTTCCTTATCTTGACCTCAAAAAAAGGACAGGAACCTTTCAAATTTGTATTTGATGAATAAACTAAAAAGAAAATCAAAATATTTAAGATTTGAAATGTAGAAATTACTATAGAACGGCTAAAAACTGATTCATTCAAGCTACATCAATTAACTGTTACCGATTTCTGGCGTGTGAGTAATTACAGTTTTTTTTCTGTGCTGATGTATTTTGGGCTCTTCTTTTTTTCTGTTTTATTTGTCACTCAAAACATTTTTTTGTTTTTTTATAAAAAATGTTCATAATAAATTTCATTCCATTTAACTATATATTCATGTTATTAATTGAGTCATCTTCCATTTGTTTGTCTTTTCCATGTTGGATCTGCAGTTTACACTGTTATCCCATCCTTATTTCATTTGCGATAAATGTCTTGATCCTTCTACGGTTTTTGGTCTTTGGCATCCAATTTCCTTGTTTCCTATTCATATATTTCGTCATATACTCTTGTTTAATTGCGTCTGTGGTTTTAGTTTTGCTCCTTTTCTATTTGTCTCGTGAATATATCTCCAACCCTTAATTTCTAGTGCTCTTTTAGGTTTTTTATTATGTCTAAGGTTTTCATGATCCATGACCTGGGCCGTGTATAATAAAACAGATACGATATATGCATGGAATGCTTTCGTTATTAATTTAAAATTTACTTTTTTATAGTTTATAGTATATGAAATTTTTTAAAATATCTCCCATTTAATTCTAATATTACTGTTTATATTTTTGGTTTGGTTATTTTTATTCTAATTAAGTCTTTATTCCAGGATTCTTTGGCAATATGATGCACAGTACTTTGTTATTGCTTAGTTGTTCTTATATAGTGTGACATCAATTAAGCTAAGATGGTTTAAATATTTTACGTTGATGCATATTTCTTCATTGTCAGAGTTTATGGATAATAATTATCTTCCTCGAGTCTTTCCCATCAATTGCCATCCTCCGCCAAACCCTGTTTTAATATGTATGACGATATACGGTTCCCAGTATATTTTGTACAGTTCAAACTTATATCGTCTTCTCCACATAACATTTCTCATTACCTTCATTTCAATGTATCCTAAACCGTTTACATTGCTATTTAGTCCAAGACTCTGAGGCATATTTTGTAAAGCTTCACCATTGAATTTCCCGCTATATTTGAGGATTTAAAAAGGAAATTGAGCCTAAAATCATCATTTGCGTCAAAATTAACAACTGATTTGGTATTTCCAGGTCTCTCATTTACCTAAACAGCTTTTCTATGTTTACCAAGTAGTAGACTGTCTAGTAGATAAATATGTAGTGGTAATATATGCCATACTCCAATGTTTTTTATATTTGTTGGCGGAAAGTAAACCCAGCCCAGCATTTTCCAAGTATTTTTTCTACATGTATCGTAGAGTGGCATAATATATTGGGGAATATTTTATACTCTACGTATAAAATACATCTAGAGTATTTGAAGGTATCACCTTTCTTATGAATTAGACAGAGTATTTAAATATTTTAATCACTAGTCTTCATATCGTTCACTAAGCTCCATAGTTGAGCCGGGAGATTATTTATTCTAGACTTTTCCGTCTCGTTTAGGCTTCACAATTTCGTTCGTTATTTAAGTGGTCCTGTTTTTTTTCTATATATTTTTTAGCTTTTTCCTTATCTGGTAATTCTAGACTGTGATTCTAGTTTGTCAGATTAGCATTTTTCGGTTAGCTTCATCTTTTTCCTTGGTTGAATTCTCGAGTAAATCATATACTGGTTGTTTACGTCATAACCATGTATTAATTCCTGATCTTCTGCTGGTGATAAATCAATTTTTTTACTGAGATCCAATATGTGACTATTTCTTTTGAGTCTTTTTTGTTTTTATTGTAATTAAGTAGGGAGCTATCGCCGAGCACCGTTTCGCAACTATTGCATCTCCTGCAATATTTTTTTTTAAATGCCTTTAGACTTCATCTAAATTTTAGCTTTGTTTATTTTGTATGTTTTTTTTTCTAATTTTATTGATTAGATTGCCTTGTTATTTCTAGTAAAATTTAATTTTCTCTTTTTGTATTTACATTTTACATACTTTGAAGCACATTTAAATCAATAATAATATTTTCTTACCATTGTAAGAACAGTATGAGTCATATTTCTGCTTAATTATAAAGTAATTTTACCGAATCTTACTTAATTAACATACCATAATTACCGTAGAGTAACAATATCTTTTTGTGTTACTTTTCAATGCTACTGAATGTCTCATCGTAAGTAAAATTATACCTTTTAACTAATTTGTAAGAGAATTGTTTTAGCAAATAAAAAGTAATTAGTTCGTTTTTATATTGCTTATTTTGTCCATTTCATCAGCCGGAGACGTATATTCCCATCAAAGTGAAATGGTCGTTAAAGTTGACTTAGATCATAAAAAGCCAATATTTCTGTTAACAATAAATCACTTTTATGCCTCCTTATTTATTATAAACGTGGAGTCTGGATTAACAACTTTACTTATTTTTAAACCAGTAGATGTAGAATGGCAATTTTACTATTGAAAATTGAGAAAACCTTCTTATTTAGATTGCTTTATCAATTGTGCAATATGAATTTTTTAGCTAAAGAAGATTGCAATATTTAGTACACATGAAGATATAGGAATTTTACACAGAAATTAAAAACAGAGCGAACTGTGAGATAAAGAAACCAAAGCAAACATATTGGGAACAATTCTCAGTAGAAATAGAGCATGTCATGTATGGAGATCAAAAGGAGGTACAAATTATGCTGAGGACAAAAGAAAAAAATAAATAAGAAAATATAAAGAAATATTATAAAACCTAAACCTTGACAGAACACTTTCCCATAATCTGTACAATGTCAACAATATATACACCGAGGAACAAAACCAAAGTAACGTAGAAGATATTGAAAATAATGAAGATATACCATAATATATACTAGCGAACGAGAATGGCGAAGATATACTAACAAACAAAGGTTCAATGAAGATTAGTGGAATGGTACTGGAAATATACATGGAAAAGCTTTGTTCGCTATACAGTAGAGGAATTAAAAAAATGTTTGTTAACCATACATACAAACATACCTCTTAAAATATATCTGTTCATACAAATACCCAAGAAACCAAACGCGATGAAGTGTAAACGACTAGTTTAATTAATCACGTCTTAAACATCTTGCGATTAATACATGAACGTACATATTTACTAGACAATAAAATCTAGACGATAGAAAAACAGGAAACCAACTGGGATTTAGAAAATTCTTTGTCACTAGAGAGGCATTATTATTTACTATACAAACACTCATAGAACGGTTTTGAGATATCAACTGTGACATATTCATATGTCTAGTTAACTTTGCAAAAGCCTTCGACAAAATACAACACTACAACAACACATAGAAGATTACCCTACTATAATCTAAAAGTTGCAATAACCGTATAAAGGATCTACTATTATGGATAAACTATTATGTTTAGTAATGGGGCATTGTTTTTTATCATTGTTAAAAAAGCCAAATTTTATATTGTTGGGAAGACGCTGAACATACAAATGGCTTTTGTACTGGTCGTTCTTGTATACACCTGTCGAAAACAAACAAAAGAAAAGCGCTTGCAATATGGAGACGCAGATGGTGTTTATTGATTTTTAAACGGCCCATTAGCCAAGCTGACTAGAAGACAAGAAAATTCCATCTTTTCCTTCATGTACCATGTCCTCTCAGAACTTTGGTTACTATTATAGCTATCTTAATTTTATCCACTGCCACGCTAAATAGCATGCTTGTGTCAATACCATACGAACCTCACAAGTTCTTCAACCATAAGGTCTTTCTTCAACCAGGACTGCCTTCGCCTGCTATTTTTCCTTACATAATATTTTGTAGCAATTTATATTTGGAACCTTTCATTACACATCCGAAGTACTCTAACTTTTTCTTCTTGATGCTTTTTATAATGTTAGTAGTCTTGCTAAGACGTTCTAGTATTGTAGAGTTTCAAATCTTGTCCACCGAAAATTCCACCGATTTACATTAATGTGTTGTGTTAAATACGATTTAACAGTATTTCTGCTTCCGTGTATTCTGGAGCTTGTCTAAAGATTGCCTTTGAGTACATGTTGGATATGTGACAATATACATCCCTGTCAAACACCTAGCACAATGTTCA